CAATCATATAATAAACCCGGCTCGATTGTAACAAAATTGAGTCAAAACTTCATGCAACAACTGGTTCCATCAACCCTAGATTAAATGTTTAGCTACTCATAGCAAAGCAAGATAAAACTACAAAAGTATTCATAATGTGCAATTGAAATGACAAAGAGTAGATAGAAAAACTCTAATGGTTGGTTGCTCTTCTCACATTTGTCCTAGCCTCCAAATCAATCTAAAAACAAGCTTAACCTTTGCTTGGGCGAGTTTGTTGAGTTTATAAAGGGGGTAAGTTCCCCCGATTTACACTTTAGTCCCAAAATTTTTGGGCAGTTACACAATCCACCGTGGCCGCGGCAGAACGCGGCGCGACCGCGGTGAAAGACAAACATTCTGCCTCGCTTTCTTAGCCTACCGCGGTCCAGCCGCGGTCAAACGCGGTCTCGGTGGCATCAAACCCAGTCCTCTTTGCCTCTTTCTTGCTTATTTTCGCTCGAGTTCTTCTTGATTGGCCTTTTATCCACATTCTTGACTCCAAAGCACTCCATATGCTCTTCCTAACTCTGATCAGTTCTGCGAAGCAAAAGAAAACCAATTAGAGTATTTTGTTGTCATTTAGCCTTTAAAACAACGATAATGTATGGCACAATTGGAGTGTAAATAACATCTATATAGCCTATTATCAACACCCCACACTTAAGCCGTTGCTAGTCCTCTAGCAATAAACCACACTCTATAGGCCTAATCGTCATTTGGTCACTTCCCTACTCCCTATACCAAGAATAGTTCACATGGATAGACTACTTCAGCGCAACCTCCTCGCCTCGAGAGTGGACTCCTTTCTAGCCACGCAATGCCCCTAAACAACTCTCCTACTCTCAGTCAGAGGTCCAGACTTACCTTCCCTTAAAGAATCATGTGCCTACTCACTACAAAAGAGGATTATATCGTTTACAAATCACACATTGAGGAATTCGAATACAACATTTCACTCACCCTCAGAACAAATTCTTATGCCACAAACAACACACCATAGGCTTGCCCGTAGTGTAATACTCGACTAATCGAGATCATTCGGTCTGGAATCAAGTAGGACTTTATTTGGTTGTAATGTTGGCTGCGGGACGGGTAGGATACATCTGGGTATAGTGACTACATATCCCAAAGCACTCCACTACATTGTGTACTTTTAAACTCTTCACTTTATCACACCTTCCTTCCACAATTACATTATTGTGTTAATCCCTTTTTTTTTTCTTAAGCACACTTTTTCTTTTAATATCTGCCACCACTTTGATGCTTCTCTTCTCTTTTTTTTTGGTGGCCTCTAATATTGTTTATCAACCAGTGCACTTTTTCTTTTTGTCCCCTTAATTCCACTTAACAGCACAACCAAACACCCACACTATATTTTTCTATATCCGTTATACTTTGAGTGCTTCTAAGAGGTGATAAGGTTCAACAAGATAGGCTATTTAAACTCGGGTTAGGCTTGTAATGTGGTTGCCAAGAAAAACAGGCTTACAGGCTCAACNCCGGTGTTTTATCCATATATATACTCTCTGTCTGGCATACATATTGTCTCAAGAATCCGCGCCCACCAGACATTTGGGTGGCGATAAACAAGGTAATGATTTGTATCCCCCGTGAAAACTAGTAGCCAGTACACTCGGCGGATGGCCTCAAGTGACGCATCTACCCGGGTGTTGCGTACTGTAACCACCCCATTGACATGCTCCGGGCAGTTCGCATAGAACTCCCTAACTATCTGGATATTCACCTCCTCCGGTTCATCAAAGAAGATGTCCAGCTGACACCTCCTCAACTCATTAAAGATATTTGGGCATTCCACTTGCAAGGCTCGCCGGTCAATATGCACTTTCGGTAACAATTTCTTGGACGCCTTGGCATTATACCTGTCCTCAGCTGGTTTGGATACAAACCTAGCGCGGTCAAATTGTTCCGCACTAGCTTGGCCTCGAGCTCTAGAAGAATGCCCGAACCACTAGCGGAGGACCCTGTGGTACGTCTCTTCCTAGATGGATGCATTGTACCTGCCGAAAACAGAGTCTCCTATCAGTGAGGGTTAGAGTTGTGTGAACCCTGGGTGGTTACTCAGACTTCACCACCACCAAGGTAACATTAACCGTTACAACTTCATTGGGGCAATTTCACAAACACCTTTTGAGCAAGGGCTCTATTCTAACACACCTAGCCTCATGGAAACATCAATTCTAACCCCAAATCACAATTTGTAGTTCACCATTCCACCCCACACAATTAGTTTTACACACACAAGCACACACTTCTCTACAACATTGTGCATACACTTCTCTACAACATTGTGCACATAACCCATAAAAAACAGAAAAAAAATCAAGAAAAAATTAATCTACTAGAAATACTACACAATTAAAGCATTGAACTAACATAAAACCAAAACAAAAATACAAGAGAAGAAGGAGAGAAGCTTGCCATACCTGGATGTAGGAGAGGGTGAGAGGAATAGAGGTTGGGGGAGATGGGTTTATGTGTGAGAGAGGTGAAGAAGAAGAAGAAGATAGGAGAGAGGCGTTAGGGAGAGAGAGAGAATGGGTAAAGGGAGGGGGGCGGTCTTTTAATTTATTGGGGGGGGGGTTAGAAAAGAAAAGAAAATAAATAAATAATATAAAATTTACATCTAACTTACCTGGGCGACGGAAAGTCGCGACTCACCGCGGTCCCACCGCGGCCTCGGTGAGTGAAGGAACGAAAAACAGAATCCTCATGTTTTACCGCGGTCCCACCGCGGTCGCGGTTGGTCGAGCGATTGTGAGGCAAAATACTCGTCATTTACCGCGGTCGAGCCGCGGTCGCGAGGATTTTTTCTTTTTTTTTCATAAGAAGGTTACATAAGAAAACTAAAACAACAACATTCATGGGTTGCCTCCCACGCAGTGCCTGATTTAACATCGCGGTACGACGCAGGCTTTGATCATCACTCCTCATTCGCGTACTGGGGCTCTTCCAAAGTTATTATCTCTCTGTCCCCTTTTTCTTCGTCCATTCCAAGGTAATGTTTCGACCTTTGCCCATTCACTGTGAACTTATTCGTCCCATCTTCTGATTCAATCTCTACAGCTCGACTTAAGAACATTTGCACCACTCTGAAGGGTCCTGACCATCGGGACTTCAACTTACCCGAGAACAATCTCAATCTCGAGTTGTATAACAACACTAGATCTCCGAATTTGAAAACCCGATCCAAGATGTGCTTATCATGCATTAGTTTCATCCTTTCTTTGTATAATTTAGCACTCTCAAATGCCTGGAACCTGAATTCCTCGAGCTCATGTAGCCTAGTGACTCTGCTGGTGCCTGTTGTCTCCATATCCAAGTTCAACTGCCGCAATGCCCAGTTTTGTATATATTGCCAAAGGCATCAAGTTTATGCTGGCTCCTAAGTCACACAATGCTTTTGCAAAGGCATAACTCCCAATAGTACACGGAATAGTGAAGCTACCTGGGTCAGACATCTTTTGAGCCATGGGTCTTGTCACTACTGCACCTGCATGTCTGTGTCAGAGTTACTGTGGACAGGTCCTGAAAGTCCAATTTTCGTGACATTAGGTCCTTCATCATCTTTGCATAGCCTGGTATTTCCCTCAAAGCATCCATCAGAGGAATATTCAATTGAATTTGACGAAGCATCTCCATGAATTTCCTGTATTGATCTTCTTTCTTTTGTTTTGCCAGTCTCTGAGGGAGTGGTGCAGGTATCACCCTTTGTGCACTGCTTGCTGGCTTCTCTTTGTTGGGGTTTTGTGGCACAAGAGGTACCACAGCTTGTTCACTCTCTTTAGCCTTACCCTTATCATCCTGAACCTGTTCAACCACCACTTCAGTAAGTTCTGCTGATTCATCTATCTCTAATGGAACTGGAGCGACTGGCTTAGTCTCTCTACTGGATTGCGCAACTTCTTGCTCTCTGTCTAAATCTCTCCCATTCCGGAGACTTACTGCCATCAGCTGATTCGGGTTTTGCTCCTTGGGGTTAATGTTCGTGTTGGCTGGCAATGTTCCCTGGGGGCGGTTATTTAAGGCCATGGACAGCTGCCCCAATTGAGTTTCAATATTCTTTATTGCTGAGTCATGCACTACCAACTTTTCCTGCATCTTACCATTTGTTCCAATGAGTTGTTAAAGCATACCCTGATTTCTACCATGTTGCCATCCTGTTGCTGAGGAGGTGGCTGATATGCTAACTGTTGCTGGTTCTGCTGTGGATAGCCCTGTTGTCTCTGATATGACACCATTTGGCCTTGGGGCTGCATACCTCCAGGTTGTGGCATGTTAGGTCTGTACTGCTGATTGGGTGCTGGTCTCCACTGTTGTCCTCCTTGTCTCTGACTCCCAAATTGTTGACATAATTCATATCCTCTCTTAACCCTTGGTTGTCACCTTCTCCACTCCATGAACACACATAAGACTGATTAATGCAAGGTGTGCACAGTCCTCCATTTGTTGTGTCAACGATATGCACTTGCTTTGTACCAATCTCATCAATCTTCTTTGTCGATACTCATCTGAGTCATGAGTGTGGCTACGTTCTCTGCATGCGAATTATTTGGGTCAAGAGGAACTGAATGCACTATTGGTGTCAGGGTCGTACCTCTCGTCATTCACCCCGAATTCTGAGACATCTTCTCAAGAAGGATTTTACATTCTGTGAATGTCTTGCTAAAAAATGCACCCCCAGCTGAAGCATCTACATTGGCTTTTAAATTGTGTGCTAACCCCATGTAGAATCTCTGGCCGAGCATCTGGTCTGGAATACCATGGTGGGGACACTTCACTAGCATCCCTTTGAATCTTTTCCAAGTTTCCTGCAAGGTCTCAGTAGGCTGCTGCTTGTACTGCAATATCTCATTAATCTGTCTTGCAGTCTTTTTGGGCGGGTAAAACTTGTTCAGGAACTGCTTGACTAATTCCTCCCAAGTGACAATGGAATTTAGTGGAAGTGAATGCAGCCAATTCTAAGCTTCTCCAGTCACAGAGAACGGGAACAGTAACAGCTTGATGGCTTCAGGGGTCACCCTTGGCTGCGTTTGGATCACACAAATCGACAGAAAATTTTTCAGGTGTTGTTGAGGGTCTTCAATGTGTGACCCGGAGAACAATCCCTTATTCTGTAGAAGATGTTGCATGTTGTTGATGATCTGGAATGTCTCTGCTTGTATTGGGGGCACAACAATGGCAGTGGCCAGGTTGTCAGCTGTTGGTTGTGCCCAATCATAAAGTGCAGCTTCTGGCACAAGGGGTGCCACCACTCAGACGTTTGGGTCAGCTTGATCATCCCTGATGTTTTCGTTGACGTTATCTACGTCACCCATTTCAATTTCAAGTTGGTGTGTTTGTTGTGATTGTTTGTTCTTCTTGTTGGCACGGTTTAATGCCCTGAATGTCTTCTCGGGATCTGAGAGTCCATCAAGCAGTTCACCAGTCCTCGAAGAATCTCTAGGCATACACCTGAATCACACAAGAGTTCAAACGTGAGAATTTCAATGCAAAATTATTTAACACCGTTGAAAATTGATCTAAGCTAATAATTCTAGCACTACTTCTAAGTTGTAATAAATAACACCGTTAATTCCCCGGCAACGGCGCCAAAATTTGATCACGCCCAACTATGCTTTATAAAAGACAAAGCGGTCATTGCAAATATAATCCGTTTTTTAAGTCCGGAGTTGAATCCTTAGGGAACTAACCTATCTACTACAGCTCTTGGTGACACTAGTATAAGCTCAAACAATTTCCGGATGCAAAATTCTTATCAATAAATATTGGGTTTTCGTTTAACTAAGTCAAAATGATATTAAAACTAACAATATTCTAAATCAAAGATTATTCAATGGCAAAAAGGTCTAGGGTATTGATTTCCCCAATTGCTAGTTTGAGTCTTAACTCTTTTGCTATAATCTCGCCGTAATATTCTATGAGGATTATGAGCTGTGGGTTACCGCAATTATCTCTCGATCAACTATGATAATTTACTAGAGCATTCTCTCGAACTACTCTAGCTGATAATTTGTGCAGCTCTGAATTATCCCACCAAAGTTTCGTTATCTCAAACCCCACTTTTAAGTTCAAGTAATGAATCTCTTCAATTACTCAAAAGTGGTGTTGTTCAACAGCAGTCTAACCTAGTATTCTTTCTCAAGCAACACAAGGCAATTAAACACGATTAATCAAGGGCCCATTCAATTAATCACCATACAACACATAGTTGAACAATCATATAATAAACCCGGCTCGATTGTAACAAAATTGAGTCAAAACTTCATCCAACAACTGGTTCCATCAACTCTAGATTAAATGTTTAGCTACTCATAGCAAAGCGAAAACTACAAAAGTATTCATAATGTGCAATTGAAATAACAAAGAGTAGATAAAAAAACTCTAATGGTTGGTTGCTCTTCTCACACTTGTTCTAGCCTCCAAATCAATCTAAAAACAAGCTTAACCTTTGCTTGGATGAGTTTGTTGAGTTTATAAAGGGTTGGGGTAAGTTTCCCCGATTTACATTTTAGTCCCAAAATTTCTAAGCAGTTACATAGTCCACCGCGGCCGCGGCAGAACGCGGCGCGACCGCGGTGAAAGACAAATATCCTGCCTCGCTTTCTTAGCCTACCGCGGTCCAGCCACGGTCGACCGCGGTCGCGGTGGCATCAAACCCAGTCCTCTTTGCCTCTTTCTTGCTTATTTTCGCTCGGGTTCTTCTTGATTGGCCTTTTATCCACATTCTTGACTCCAAAACACTCCATATGCTCTTCCTAACTTGGATTAGTCTCTGCGACGCAAAAGAATACCAATTAGAGTATTTTGTTATCATTTAGCCTTTAAAACAACCATAAAGTATGGCACAATTGGAGTGTAAATAACATCTATATAGCCTATTATCACCTATTAAGACCCGCGTCTCTTTGCACACTCTTTTCCAGCTGTAACTTACGTGTCTTGACATATCAGCCACATAATTAATTTCAAATGTTAACTTAATTTTCCCCAATACAATCGGAGCTATGCAGCACTTTAACAATGAAGCAAAGATGGAAAACAAATCAACAATGGGCGTGCAGTAGAATCTACAGTTGCAATATTTGTTCTCATGCGCTTAAATTGATTACAAATTTCGCCTCGCCAACTAATTGATTACAATTCGACCTTCCTAAATAATATAACATCAATGTGTCTATTCGTCTATCTTCTAAAACAAATACTTTTTTATGTATCTGATCCTCTTTACCTGCTAAACCTCACACCGTAGCAATGAGAAGCCGTAAAAATGTGGGCAAAAGCTTTAGTTTTCTGCTTTAGGGAGAATTCTATAGACACTGTCTGGTCTTGACTTCATCCCAATATGTGTCATAGAAAATTATAATGATAAAGTTCACTTGACTTTTTCTTTTTTTTCATCAAGTGGCTCGATAGTGGATCGAATGGGAGGCGAGCAGCACTTGCATTCGCTGTAATTTGCCCAGCTTCATTAAGCAACTTGAGAATTACCTCCCTCTGGTCTTCTAAATCCTGCATCCTGGCATCAATTTTCTCCACCTTAAGCTTGAGTTTTTCTAAGTCCTTCCTATCATCGGGATTCTTTTCTTTTTTATCCTTCTTGTTCTTCTTCGTCTTATCTTTTCCATCCTTTTCCTTGGTTTTTTCGTCCTTGTCTTTCTTCTTTTTATCTTTATCTTCCTTCTCATCTTTATCTTCTTTTCCACCTTCATCCGAATGCTTATCTTCTTTCTCCTTCTCATTAATTTCCTTATTTTCAGTTTTGGTTGCACCGTCATGTTTTCCTTTATCTTCTGTCTCTTGCATTGGTTACCTTTCTAGTTTAATTACCATTCAGAGTGCTGAAACCGAGTATAAAAAAGAGAAACGGATCAAGGTCATGGTATATATTTGATGAAGATGCTGATTGTGCTAAACATTTCTGGAAATGTAGGTAACAGATGGATTTAAGGCTAATTCAAGGTATCAAAGGGAAGAGATGACGATGAATTAACAGACCTGAAACAGTTTCAACATTGGTTTCTTGATCGAAGTGTTCAACTATGGTTAGTTTGTGTTGAAAATAAATAGGAAACCAAGATTTGAGAGGCTCCGTCCATACCCCTATTTCTCTGCCATGGACACAAAAGAATTACAGCATATTGAACGGTATAGGCATTTTCAGAATTGTGCTGATGGTATAACCACAAATCACGCTACATTTAATCTGAGCGTCCTCTAGACATAACAATGTAGGCCGTAATTTTGGATCCTGGATAATTGATATGTAATTATCTTAAGACTCATACCAATTTCAGAGTCCAATTCAAAGTTGATTTTTGATTGGCTAAAAGATAATAAGGCGAACGACTTCTATTGGATAGATACAAAAATCTCTTTCGTTTCAACTTTCAAAGGAAAGCACCAGACTTTTAGTAGTTTTGCAACAACTAAAAGAATTTCTGGTTCTTTCACCTGCTTTTAGAACAAACGCCACTTAAAATTAGTGCAGCTGAAAGCTCATAGACTGATTTTATTGATGAATGATTCAAAGTAGGACTTGGTCAAATTTGAGTTTGTTAGTAGTATCCTATATACTTGGATTGGTTAGCAGTAGTTATGGTATAGTTTAATGGTTTAATGGTAGTGGATAGTTATTGCTTTATTAGCGGTAATAGTGGTCAGTTTAATGGCTTAGTGGTCTGTTTATTTGAAAGCCTATATAAAGGCAATATTTGCTTCAGTTAATATATCAATGAAGTTAAGAAAAATTCCAGCAAACTTCTTGTACGCTGTAGCTTTTCTCCTCAAATTTTCAATCTGTTGCTTACTTTATTCAACATCTTTGGTATCAGAGCCTTGTTACAGAGAGTGAGTAGAGGAAAACACAAACTTGAGTGATACATTTGAGACAGAGAACAATGGCAAGTAACAGCAGTGCATTGGGTGCGGCACAACCCCTCATTCCTGTCTTCAAGGGAGAAGGCTACGAGTTTTGGAGTATCCGTATGAAAACTCTACTCGAATCTCAAGATCTTTGGGACTTGGTAGAACAAGGGTATGTAGATCCCGACGAAGAAAACAAACTGCGAGACAACAAGAAGAAAGACGCTAAGGCATTGGTGATGATTCAGCAGGCTGTTCATGATAGCGTCTTCTCACGGATCGCAACAGCGACCACATCAAAGCAAGCTTGGTCTATTCTGCAGAAAGAGTTTCAAGGTGATTCAAAGGTCATTGTGGTGAGACTACAGTCACTTCGGCGTGACTTTGAAACCTTGATGATGAAAAGTGGTGAATCTGCTGCTGATTTTTTGTCAAGAGCAATGGCAATTATCAGTCAAATGCGATCCTACAGCGAGAAGGTTACAGATCAGACCATTGTGGAAAAGGTATTGCGAAGCTTAACTCCAAAATTTGATCATGTAGTTGCTGCCATA